ATGATAGAGGCCTGGTGCACGGGTGAGGGCCGGCTGGTGTGCCCTGAAGGGTGTCCTGGATCAGGGTGGGGGTCCCGCTGGGGTGCCTGGCCAGCCTGGGTGAGGGGCCGATGGCTGTTTGCAGGCTGGTCAAGCCGCCCAGTGGGGACCCTCACAGCCCCTTCAGGGTGTGTGTGTGGGGTCCCGCTGGGGTGCCTGGCTAGCCTGGGTGAGGGGCTGATGGATGTTTTCAGGCTGGCTATGCTCGCAGGCTGGAAGCAAGTATCTGGGATTTATTTATCTTCTATAATTGAAACTTTGTAGCCTTGAGTGGAGCTCAGGGCCGGCCAGGGCAGGTGGGAAGCTTGGCTTCCTCCATCGTCGGGGGCAACGCAAGCTTCCTCCTCGCTCCAGCTCCGGGGCTGCAGCCATCTTTGTGATGGACTGACGGAGTGAGGAGTGATGGTTAATTTGCATATTATGCTTTTATTAGATAGGATGATGTTAGTATAAATGTGGTGAGATGAAAGCTTGTAGATACTGGTGGTGGGTCTAGAAATCTGTACAACCTCTTTGGAAGACAATCTGCCGATAGTTATCAAGTGGAAAATGCACGTGCCTTGTGGAATTGCAATCTTTTAAAGCTAGCGCCTCAGAAACCACGTGAGCTTCACCGTGTCACATTGATCACCAGCTCAACTTCTGGTCTTTACAAAGTTACAATTTCATGTTGAAATCTTTTGGCTTTTTTCTTTTTAATGAAACTGCTTCAAAGACAGGCTCCATTCTGTGGCTCACCACCGTGGTGTAAAGACCCTGTGGCAGATTCTGCCTCTTGGAAAAGAGGGTGAGTGAAGAGGAAATACTTAGTGAGTTGTCAAGTGTCTTCGCGGCGCGGGGTCCTCTGGCGCTGCTCATGGCTTTGAGTTCCCTTAGCTGTTTCAAGTTAGCGCAGAGCCTTACCCGCAGGCAAGGCAAGTCTTCTGCTTTTCTGTTCTTAGTTAGAAATTCTTAGACTTATGACGTCCATCCTGTGAATTTTATTTTTATTTGTGTAAGCTGCTTTAGCGAAGGATGAAGACATATGCTTTTTTAAAGCTCCGTTTTTTAGTGAGAATTTCTAAACCTTTTGTCAAATCTTTATGGCACCGTCCTCCTGTCCTGTCCACACAGTCCCCAGGGCTATTTCTGACTCGGAACTAAACTGTGTCAGGAACATGGGCTCAATCCATAGTTGGCAGATGTCTCTTCTTAATCCATGTAACTAAAATCTGCTCTCATTAAAATCTTGTGTAATATCCTACACAGCAACGTTGGTATACTAAAAGTATTTTTAAATTATATTTTTATAGATTTTTAGAGAGAGGTGAAGGGAAAGAGAGAGAGAGAGAGGGAGAGAGAAACATTGATGTGAGAGGAAACATCCATCGGCTGCCTCCGTCACACCCCCTACAGGGGATAGAGCCCTAAATCTGGGCATGTGCCCTGACAGGAATGGAACCAGCAAACTATCTGGTGCACGGGACGAGCCCAACCAACAGAGCTGCACCAGCCAAAGTCATTTTGATATAATCCATCTGCAACTTGACTCATTTAAAATAATTACTCCATATGATACTGAAATGCAATTAGGTAACTTTTTGTTTCTTAAGGCTTAGCTGAGTAATGTAGATAAGAAAATGCTGAAATAATGTAATTAGTACTTTCATATTTATTAAATGGTATGATTTATGTGTGTAGCAATGACTTTTCTGTTTAAATTTCCCTTATTTCAATTTCATATTTGGGAAGGTGGTATCCATTATTGATGATCGATTTTTAGACCACCCAAGGCTTAACCAAAAAGTCAGAGTTTATGATTCAATCGCCTGACATGAAAATGGATGCATTTGGGCATGTCAAACACCAGCTCTTCATAGCTGGGTGTGGTCAGTGAATATATTTGGACAAGTTTTAGAAATGCGTGAAGCTGCTCATTTTCTTAATACCTTTCCCTGAGGGAAGGCGCGCGTGTGTGTAGGGCCTGCTCTCCATTTCCTGGCGTGTCTAAGGGCGCATGCTCTGGGCCAGGGAGGTCCCAGATCCCCCTGAGGATGCTGACGGGTGCCCCACTCTCTCCCTCCGTCTCCTCCTAAGGATGGCGCTCTTTCTGGACTGCAGGACAGTCACAGTTTGCTTCTGGCTTCGGGTACTGTCTCTGCTCCTACAGGAACTTGTGTGATTTGCTTACCCTTGAACTTCAGAAGGAATCGCAACCTGAATCCAGACACAGAAGTGCGCGGAGAGGGCTTGCCAAGGGAGGTGCCTGCACTGGATTCAACCAACATGACCAGAATCCCAGAGAGGGACAGAGCGGCCTTTGGAGACTCTTGTGGATTGTCCAGTCCAGAGCTCTGGACGCATCCACAGCGCGCCTGAGTGGGCGGGGATTCCAAGAGGCTCACTTCCAGATGAGTGACTTACATGACACCTGTAAACACAGCATTACTGGAAACAAACAAACAATGCCGGGCAAACAGGACATCAATGGAAAACATGAACTTCTCTCCTCATTTTAATCACATGATTCAATTCTGCTTATGCGTCAAACAAAGACTGTTAATACCTCACTTTTATAGTCTCGGGATTCTTTTACTATGATGAATGTTTGCAATTAAACTCTATTTACACACTTGTTGGTTAATTGGTTAATAAGATTACAGAAAATTACTCACATTTTTAATTATTATTATTTTTTTTGCAGCCTTGAAATTGCCAAAGCACATTGATTATGGTCAATTGGATGCATTATTCCACGTGAACAGACCACAGGGCAGGTAAGATAGTCATGCATATTTTGTCATTCAAATGAATATTAATATATTTGTTTCATGAATAAAGCCTAATAATAAGCCATTGTCGGCTCTCATAGGTGCCTGATTTACCGCACAGATGCAAGTATTTTAAAGCCTGGAGGTTATTTCTCTGGAATAAAGGCACAGAACACATATCGTATTTCAGGGAAACAATTTCGTGGGACACAGTGTGGCTCGTGCCCAGCAAGGCCCTCTTGTGCTTTGAGAGCAGTTGTGGGCAAAGCTTCAATGGGCTTTGTGTTTGATGTGATTTTAAATCCATGTGATTATGACTTAAAGGACGTTGTTTTAATGCCCTTGTTTATGACACAGGCCAAAAGGTTGTTTTTAGAAGTAAAGTTGTGTCAGGAAGTCATCACCTCCTCTGTGGGCCCAGCTGGGGGTGTATCTGCAGGACCAGGGGGAGCAGCAACCATGGCCTCCTCTGTGGACCCAGCTGGGGGTGTATCCGCAGGACCAGGGGGAGCAGCAACCATATGAGTGTACTTGCATTGCAATAGGAATTAGCAATTCTCCCCCTTTCTGTAAGTGGAAGTGCAGATTTTTAAATAATGTTATATGTAAATATGTGTTCATTTTTAGCAAGTGCTTTTAGGAGCAGATCTGTTAAGGCACATCCTTACTTGTCCAACACTGTAGATTACATTGTTTTGTTATCTAATCCTATATACTGTGTGACACCAAAACAACCATAGTCTAAAGCAGCTGTGGGCAAACTACGGCCCCCGGGCCGGATCCGGCCCGTTTGGAATGAATAAAACTAAAAAAAAAAAAAAACGAACCCTTTTATGTAATGATGTTTACTTTGAATTTATATTAGTTCACACAAACACTCCATCCATGCTTTTGTTCCGGCCCTCCGGTCCAGTTTAAGAACCCATTGTGGCCCTTGAGTCAAAAAGTTTGCCAACCCCTGTGCTAAGCCCTGCCCAGCCGTGGAGTGACAGCCTTGGAGCAGCCAGCCCGCCCAGCACCGGTTCCCTGCAGCGTGACTCAGCAAGCAGGGGCTGAGGTGGGAGCCGCAGCTGGAAGTCAGGGCGTGGCTCCCCGTCCCCAGCTCCCATGCAGAGGCCCACCCACCTCGGTTGCATTGGGACTTTATCCTTTGTCTCCCCTGCCTGGAACAGCAGTGTGTTACCCTGTCGTTTGTGTGGACTGTGCTGTTTCTGTACTGGCTTCTTAAAAGATACTGTTGTGTGTGCTGCTGGCTTGCGAAATCATTCCAGTCCCCATGGCAGACCTGGATAAACCAACTGCTGGCAAAGACGGAATCAGCCCCTGAGCAGAATCTGCTGCCCCAAACAAAGCAGCATGGCTGAAATCCCACATCCTGAGCCAACGGCCATGAGATGAAACACCATGAGACCAAGAACTGGGAAACATCATGGTTCGAAGCTCAGGTTTCCTAAGATGTGTTAGACTAGAAGATATAATTTTTAAAATCTATTTTGCTTGCCAACTCCCTAGCCCAAGTTGGATTTTTCTATTATGAAGCTAGTTTCCTTTCTATCCAATCATGTCCCTGGGCCCTCCACCTTCCTTCACAGCGGGAGGAGCTTGCCTCATCTTCGGTGGGCCTGCGGAGAAGTGCCCCGAGCTTCTGTACCTTCCCCCTTCTGTGTCACACCCCTTAACTAGGTCTCTGTGTCACACCCCTTCACCCCGTCTCTGTGTCACACCCCCTTCACCCCATCTCTGTGTCACACCCCCTTCACCCCGTCTCTGTGTCACACCCCTTAACTAGGTCTCTGTGTCACACTCCTTAACTAGGTCTCTGTGTCACACTTTCTTCACCCCATCTCTGTGTCACACCCCCTTCACCACCTTTCTGTATCACACCCTCATAATCACCTTTCTGTGTCACACTCTCTTAACCCCTTCAAATTATTTCCATATTTTTGTCGGTCTTGCTATTGCTTCTTTCTCTGAGAAAGTGAGGAGGGCATGCTTCTTTGATTCACTGTGGGTTTCTCCCCAGAAGGACTTTTTCTCTCACACCCCTGCCTCCTCCTCAGCCCCAGTGCCTCTGGGCCTCGGGCGAAGAGTTCTGCAGCCCGGTGCCTGGTCCCGGCTGCGTGGCCTTGGACCACGCTTTGTTTTTCTTGGGCCTCAGTGTTTTTGTCTATGAAGTGGGAGCGACAGGAGTGTCTGCGCATCTCGTTGTGTAGGGATCGAATGACCTGATGCATGCGAACGGTCTAGAACAGTGAGTGGCACGTAGTGAGAACTGGCACATTTCATTGTTTAGGGGGGAGCATATATAATCCAAAAGGGTAAGGAATGGGTTTTGAAATGAATTGATTTTTCATTTGTACCCTGCGTCCTCTGGTTCCCAGTTCAATGGATTAGGCAAGTTACTGAGTTTTCAGGTTCTTTATGGGTGAAATGGGCAGTGAGGTACATCAGCCCTGTCAGGTTACATAAAGTATGAGACAAAGACGATGTCAAGGCCTTAGTGCAGTGTTTGCACATAACGAGTACCCAGTATATGAGAGGGAGATGGGTAAAATGCGTGGCTGTAGAATGCCAGCTCCAAATGGAAAAAAGAAAGAAAAAAATAAAAGATCTTGGAAAATCTTCTAGTGATATCAGTGGTTGGATTTAAAAAGAGTAGATTCTTGGTAGGTGTCTCTAAGGTAAGTAGGAGGGAAAATGTCTAAGGTCAAATTACATTCACACGGCAATATCTGAATCAATTAAGTCAAATTAAGTTAAATAGTACTCTTAAAATATATACTATTTGCAAAGAATTAATAAGGTGCTTTAGGAACTTTGGCTGAGAGAGAAAAAAAGCTGTTAAATATTTTACTCTGTGTTGTTATTAGTTACATTGACAATGAAATAAGAAATGTGTTCTCTTAAGGATTTGTACATTCACAGCTATGAGGCAAATATTGACTGTGATGTTGTCATTGTTAAATTTTAAGTGTGATCATTTTGGATAATTATTGAAATAAGCTGGCAAGATGAATTGGTTGGCATTTTAAAAATCGACCAACTTTTTGCAGTGGTTGTCAATGGAAGACTGAATGAAGCAGGCATTCCAGAAGCAAATGTCTTGCCTGACCCTGACTGACAGTGGGCCTTGCTGTTGACATGTTGAGAATTTGCAGTGGGTGGGGCCCTGGCTGCCACAGCACCGACTGGGGAGGGTTTAAGGCCGAGCAGCAGGGCCCCTGGTGCCTGCAGATCTTATTTCCAGGAAAGGCGCCAGAAGTCTCACTTACAGAAAGCTTCCGATGACTCCGGGATCCACGGGATTTGGGAAATGTTGATCTTTTGGTCTAAAACATCTTTATTGCAGCAGATTGTCATAAATCATTGCAAATGTTCAGATAAATATACTTTCCAGGAATGTATATGTAAAATATATGCCGATCACTTTGGAGGAATTTTAATTGTCTGCTATGTTTTATTTTTATTTTTAAAAATATGTTTTTATTGGTTCAGAGAGAGGAAGGGAGAGGGAGAGAAAAGAGAAACATGGATTGCTGCCTCCTGTGGTGATGCAGCCCACAGCCAGCACGTGCCTGCCAGCAACTGACCCATCACCTCCTGGCACATGGGACCGCGCTCACCCTCTGAGCGACAGCAGCTGGGCGCCTGCTGTGTTTTACATGAATGACAGAAATGGCAGTTTTCAGGAGGTCCAACTCAAAATAACATTTTACATAGACTGCCATTCTTAAACTATTTCTCTTTGAAAAACACTATAGACAATTTCTATAGTGATATTATTAAAGCATAAAGTGTTTGTTTCATATTATTGTTATTTGCTTCTTAGACTAAGTAGTATAGGATTAAGATGTATGTATTGAATCAAAAGTCTTCCCCTTGAGAGTTGTTATCCAATGATACTTACAACTTAATTTCTTTGTCTCTCTCTTTTTGAAGCCGGAGTTCTCTGAGTATCCTATCAGCTCACAATGAGATTATAAAGAATTACTCTAAAATATTCCGGCAGAGAAAAATCAGACTGCCTAGACTTTCCCAGCAGAAGGAACAAAGGTAAAGAAAGTGGGCATGGCATGTGAGCAGAGGGACAAACGGACTCTGAGCTGGGCCTGTGAAGATGGGGGCAGTCGACCTGGGAGAGTGATGATGGGGGAGAGCTAAAGTGGGCATGGCATGTGAGCAGAGGGACAAACGGACCCTGAGCTGGGCCATGTGAAGTCGGGGGCAGCCGACCTGGGAGAGTGGTGATGGGGGGGAGCTGACCTGGGAGAGTGATGATGGGGGCAGCCGGGGTGGGGGGGAAGGCAGACGCATGTGGCCATTTTGCAGGAGTTTTAGTGACTTGGTGATTATTGGGACTAATAAGTGTGTTGCTTCCTCAGGGTTATCATTAACATGAATAAACAACTAGTCTTGTCTATTAAACATAACAAGCAGAAATACTATTAGGAATGAGAAAGATAATACATACGATACAAGGAAATTGTAAATTATGATATAATACTTTATGTAATGAGTTGAATTTGATAATCTAGATGCTATTGGCTAGTTTTCTAAAAACTATGTACTAAATTTATTTAAGAAGATAGAATTAAAAAAAGATGGTATAAATAGTTGTGAAAATGCTGGTATAAGTAGTTGTGAAAAGTACTCTTTAAAAGTATTTTTTGAAGCAAAAAAAGCACAAAAGTAAAAATTAATACCCCCTCTCCCCCAACAAAAACAAGCCCACATGATATCACTAGAACTTCCTTTTAAGAAAAAGTAATTATTATGCAATTTAATTATCCTGGGGTATATACAATGAAAATTAGCTTGTAAATTTGCCATGCACAAGATTTAACTAGAATGACATAAATAGGAGATAACAATTTTAATTATGACTATATCGGCAAATATATAAAATAAAATATTGGCAAAGGAAATAACGCCGCGGAGTGTTAGCCGATCGGCACATCACAGTTAGGTTTCCTCCATCTTCTGAGTGTAAAGAAAGCTCAACATTAAAACAGCCATTATTAACATTTATAATATTAGTTGCCCACAGACAAACGATATGCTACTCTCTGGAGATGAAGAAAAGGCATTTGCTATAACTCAGTATCCATGTCTCACAGTAAAAGTGAAATTACGCTTTTATCTCTCATGTGTGCAGTAAGTGACTGCTAAGAAATAAAAAAAACAGTTATGTCCAGCCAGAAAGAACTATACCCTAAAATAGCAATAAAAATACCTTAAACTGGTTTAAATAAATTTCACAAAATATATTGAAAAAGTATAAAACTTCTCTAGGCTCAGCTCACCCTGGTCCCTGGTGTAATGGGCGGCACCCACACTGCCCAGGAGGTGGGAACGGAGCTCAGGCCACTCGGAGAAGCTCTTGGCAGGACGAGGTCGACGAGGAAACATGACTGTGACAGACACTAAATGCCTGTGCTGTTAGAACTGTTCATCAGCAGCCTTCATCTGTCATCATGGTCATAGTCAACACTCAGTTCACGCAACACCGATGTGTGACAGATGCCATAGGAAGACCCACGCTGAGGAAGGCCCTGCTGTCTGCGCAGCTGGGAGAATGCCGATGGCAGCGTCTTGGCTAAGGTGGAGGGAGCGCCATGCGCCAGGAGAGCAGAGGGCGTGAGCCCCAGGAAACCGGCTGAGCGGCAGGAGGCCTGGCTGCAAGGGGGAAAACTCTGTGAGCAGAGCTGTGGGGACAGGACAGGAGTGACCTCAGGGCTGCTTGGAGCTGGGACCGTTGTCTAGAATGTGTTTGACACATGGACCAAGGCTGTTTGTGGTCCAGTCACAGCTGCAGGGAATCGAATGCACGGACACATCGTTTTAGAAAGAACCCTGAGTTTGGACCCAGAAGACATGGACTTGAGTTTTTGTTTTGCCCCAAAGCAGCAATCTGGCTTTGGAATAGTCTCAGAAGAGGATGGTATTAGGATCACACCTCACAGGTGGATGGGCAGGGCCTTTCCCTGTCCCAGCTCTCACCATGAGCATGCGTTTTAGATGACAGTGATTCATGTAGATTTATACCACCTGTCACAAAAGTCTACCTTTTTTCAACAACAACAAAGAAATACATATAATTTTCAAAAACAATTATAAAAATCACTGCGTTGTTTGCTTCAATAAATTTAATATCACCCTTTATGAACAACAAGAAAAGGTATAGACTTTGAATCAATTCATCTTTACATTATTTTATTTCCAGAGGAAAACAGACATGTAAGAAAATGATAGTCATCGAGGAAACAGATACTAAGCATTCACAGAACTGTGGAAACCCACATTGGATATTTCTTCAAAATGTCCATGACCTCCTGATACACCCTGCTCACTTTGCCTGCTTGCAATGTCGTTTATTAGCCTCTTATGCCATGATTTTGAGTTTTGTCTGACTGGAACTTTTAGACCATGCATATTGCATTGTTGTTAGTTTTGTTAAATAAATATGATGATGGGGGTTATTTTCTTCTGTTTCTGAAGAGCATAAGGCACCCCATAAGCACCAATCAATCGATTAATTTGTGTGCCACGCATTTGTTTCTGCTGCTTTCGGCGGTTTGGCATCTCCTGGTTGGCCTCAGTGTCTGGAGGACCGTTGGGATGATTCTGAATCTCTCTGTGTACTTGGATGTCCACCAGGCAGGAGCCCAGCAGCCTCCTGCATGCACAGGGGACAAACGCCGCCAGAACCTGGGTCCAGGGGCCTCTCTCCACAGAGCTGCCTCCAAGTCTGCCTCCAAGTCTGCCGTCTCTCCCTCTCCCGGCCTCCACGCCACAGACTCCTCCTCACTAGAAGAGAAGAAAGCAGTGCGTTACACCACTTGTATCTGAGAATCAGGGCGGGGCGGGGCGGGGTGGGGGAGAGAACAGCCCATTGGTTAAACCTGCATTCTCATCACTGGCAGACTTTACTGAACTTGCTCTTGTAGCCTAGCTAAAGGAATAACTAGGGCCAGCGCTTTAAGGAGGGATCTGGGAGAGAAAGCAGGGGAGGGTGAGTGGGAAGAGATCAACCAATGAACTTGTAAGCATTATATGCATGACCCATGGACACAGATAATAGGGTGGTGAAGGCCTGGGGTGGGGGACGGCGGCGGGCTAGAAGGGGTCACTGGGGAAAAAGGGGGACTTATGCAATACTTTCAACAATAAAGATAAAATAAATAAAATGTCAAATTATGTCAGCAGAGTGTATTTCTGCTCTTGACAATGAAGCAAAAGTTCATGTCAGCATTTTGTGTGCAAAATCGTAAATAATGTGTTTCCTTGTCTAGAAAACTGTCTGAGTACACAGAAGAGCGTCAGCGCCTACAATCGGAGGACGACGCTCACAACATAGCCATCTACGTTCAACAACTGCTCGGTGGCCATCTATGTGAACCCAAAAACTTTGAAGAGAAGGTAGAAGAATTACTGGAAATTCTAAAGAAATTGTAAGTATTTTTAAAGATATTTTAAAATTGAATTTTAGAGAGAGAGGAAGGGAGAGAGAGAAATGTCAATGATAAGAGCAAAACATTGATCTGCTACCTCTTGCACATCTCCTACTGGGGACTGAGCCCACAACCCGGGCATGTGCTCTGACCGGGACTCAAAACTGGCAACCTTTTGGTGCACAGGATGACACTCAAACAATTGAACCACACCAGGCCTGGTACACGGGATTCGTGCACTGGTGGGGGGCGTGGCCTGCAGGGATTAGCTCCCACTCAGAGGGCGGGTCCATAGCCAATCCCACTGTGGGAGTGCACTGACCACCAGGGGGCAGTTCCTGCATTGAGCGTCTGCCCTCTTTTTTTCAGTTTTCGTCATATCTACTTGTTGACCGGTTGTTCAGGGGGTTCTGCCATTCGGTCGCTGTGCTTTTATTATATAGGATTCTTTCGAATTGTTTTTTATCTTTTTAAAGTTAGCTATTTGGAGGTCAGTGTACTGTAACTGCACCCAGCCACTGAATGACAACAGCGGAGCAGCTGAAAAGGGAACTCACTTTATAGGATCTTTAATGTTCACACAAAGCTGTAGTTTCTCTCTATAAAATTTCTGATTTAAGCCTCACGTCACTGCTTTGAGGTGGATACGATAGAAAAGCTGGTGAGTAAAAGAGCAATGTATAAGTTAAGTCTACAATTTGTGTTTGTTCTTCTACGAAATGTGCTTTTTAGCTTGTCGCCTTCGTACACTAGTTATTCATTTTCTGTTGCTGTGTAACGAATTATCATCAACTCAGTGGCATTAAACAACATATGTTTATTGTCTCTTTGGGCAAGTTTGGCCGGTCCTCTGCTCATGTCACAGGCTTCAATCAAGGTGCTTGCCTGGTGGTGTTCCTTTCTGGAACATGAGGTCGCCTTCCAAGCTCACCTGTGTTGTTGGCAGAATTCAGTTTCATGTGGTTGTAGGACTGTGGTCTCCGCTCTCTTCTTGGCTCTCAGTGGAGGGCTCCTAGAGGTGCCACCGATCTGCTGTGTGGCCCTCGCTCAGACCTTCCACAGCAGGAAGCTTCCATCTTCAAAGCCAGCCAGGAAGAGTCTCATTCTGCTAAACTGAAATCTAACCAAGGGCCTGTAGAGACCTGACCTTGGCCAGATTTTATTGGTTAGAAACAAATCATTGGTTTGTCTCGCATCCCCAAACTGTGGGAGAGGAGATTGGGGGCCTCTCAGTGTGTGCTGGCTGTGTTTGGTAATATTATACATCTCTCTGTGACCCTGTGGATCCCATCGAGTGGGCTGAGTGCTTTATGTTCGCATGTAGTTCAGCTGAGACCCGGGCATTGGTGGAAATTGTCAGGTCTGTAGCCCTGTGTTTACCTGGGACTTGCTGAACCATGACTGGCTCGATGGGCGACTTCATGATGTGACAACACTTTTTAAAAGCAACTACCTTACACTCTCTAAAAATCTCCACTTTGTCATTCTGCCTGTGATTTTAACAAAAAGAAATCAATTTTGGGTAACAGTAACCTCTTTTTGAAGACATGTAACTCTGCCTGACAAGATGAAGAAACTATTGCTCATTGATTACTCAGTGTGATTTGCCTTCGTTATGTTGATTAATTCTTACCTTCTACCTCAGTTGAGCAGCTCTGAGTCAACAGTGCTGGAGGGGAGGAAGGATAACTGAGTTTGAAACATTAAAATCACAGGAAAGGGCGCATCTGGGAGATGTCACCTGAGAGGAAGGGCTGGAGGAACCAAAGGGCAAGGCGTAACTGGGACGTGTGTGCAGAGCAGACAGTATTGGGGAAGAGATGAGGGAGACAAAAAAAAAAGAGAGAGAGAGAGAGTTGGGAGATTCCTGTTAAGTCATGTATTTGAAGGCATATGAGATTGAATGTAAGCTTATCAGGTATGTTAGTTAGGATTTTAGATTGTGAGCAACGGAAAGGACTCTGAATAATTTGAAAAATGGTCGGAAGTGCCCAGTGTGGCTCAGTTGGTTGGAGCATAAGATTCCTGTGCAGTGAAGGGTTTGATCCCTGGTCAGGGCGCATGCCTGGGTTTCAGGTTTGATCCTTGGGTGGGACAGGTATGGAAGACAACATTTCAATGTTTCTCACATTGATGTCTGTCTCTCTCTCTAAAATCAATAAAAACATATCCTTGGGTGAGGAGAGGGAAAGTCTATGGAAGAGCAGTGGAGGCCCCAGTGGAAGGATTATAGATCTGGAGACGGGATGAACCAGAGCGACTCCGGAGGTCTCTCCAAGGTCCGGCCTGGAATGTGTTGGTTGTAGCTGCTCTGACTGGTTCCAGGGACAGGGGTCAGATCGCTGTGTGTTTGTGCTCAGTCCCCGGATGAACGCTGAGTGGCATGATCGACGGTTTTGCTGAGTGTACCCATTGGTAAAGGGATGACATTTCAAAAGAGAAGGTATTTCAGAAGGAGGGGGAGATGACTCGTGGATAAACATTGAAAGCTCTGAGCTAAAACATCGCTTGGAATTTTAACTTCTAAATAATTTTAACTGATTTATTTTTCACACCTAAACTCATGAAATCAGCACGCACTTTGGAACGCTGTGGGTTTCCGGCAGCATTGCTGGTACGGGGTTGCAGTGTGAGCTCATCATCTTTCCCTCCTGGGGAGCTGACATTCCATGTAAGAGTGAGAGCATGAACACGCATATCTCGTGAGCGGTCAGTGCAGGAAGAAGCACTACTCCCAGTAGGGGAGCGAGTGCCATGGCAACGACAGAGTCCTCTCTGTGCGGTGACCCCGACGGGTCATCAAGGAGGTGAGAGCCAGCCCAGCAGGTCCCGTGAGGGGTTCATTCCAGGGAGGACACAGTGCAGTGGCCCAGGAAGGCACATCGCAAACAAGTGGGCAAGGAGGTCGGTGTCGTGATGCCCGAGGGAGGGAGAGGCAGGTGCTACGGCAGATGTCATGTGGGTCTTTAATGTTGGTGTGACCAGCCCTTGGGAGGGTCATGTGGGGAGTGGACTGTGGGTGTGGAGATTGGGGTCACCTGTCAGTGGCTGTCTGGAGTTGGTTGGGGTGCGACGGCTGTGTCCTGACTTCTGTTTTGGGGAGTTCGATCTGACATGCAGAATGTGAATTTTTTTCTTTTTTTAAAGACGAGTAGGTTTCAATGGACAGTCTTGGAAACATCAGAGACTTTGCGGAACTTGACCACTAACAAGGAGAACGCTGGGCAAATCAACCTCCCGCATGTCTGTGTTTGATTGCGATGCCTGTAACCCCACCAGCGTCTAACATGCAGCTAAGGACTGCTTGGGTAAAAAGAATTGGTTTCTTGTTATAAGTGACTAATTGGTTTATTTTATAAATGACTAATTTCTGGAAAAAAGAAACACGCCTGTGCGTTTGTGGGGGCTGCCAAAAGGGTAGGAGGAGAGAGAAATGTGTAAATGAGCTGTGAAGAGCAGTTTAAGATCCTCTGGGAAAACTGGGCCCATTGTTCTTTTCTCTCTCTCTCTTTTTTTAAATATATTTTATTGATTTTTTACAGAGAGGAAGGGAGAGGGATAGAGAGTTAGAAACATCGATGAGAGAGAAACATCGATCAGCTGCCTCCTGCACACCCCCTACTGGAGATGTGCCCGCAACCAAGGTACATGCCCTTGACCAGAATCGAAGCTGGGACCCTTCAGTCCGCAGGCCGACACTCTATCCACTGAGCCAAACCAGTTAGGGCTGTTCTTTTCTCTTACTTCCTCCAATTAAAGATGTTCCCTGGGAGGGAATGGCATCTGAAGACCATTAGGAGGAGGAGTTGTGAGCAACGCTCGATCAGCAGTGCTGGGGACAGTCCCCGGGGACTTGGGAGTCTGGCTGATAGACTCAGGAGGCTTAGAGGCCAGATGCCCTGTGGGTCTCACGCCCTGCCTCCCAGGGAGATCTGCTTTGAGCAGGGATGTGGTTTTTCCCCGATCTTCGATCTTCCCAGGGCTCTCGGGGAGAGGCAGAAGCCTGTGTGCTCAGAATTGTGTTGCAAGTCGTTGGGAGGAAAGTGGACAGAATGAGAGGGGCCCCCTCCTGGGAAAGAAAGGCTTTACTTGAAGCCAAAGGGAACATAGGTTAGTGAGTAAAGTGTGACCACTGAAAGCAATTTAGATTCTGACGGGAGCAGTGATCACTTATGATATAAGGAAGGGAGCTACCTGGCCAGGTGGCTCAGGTGGTTGGAGCATCATCCCACACACCTAAAGGTTGTGGGTTCGAACCCTGGTCGGGGCCTGTACGAGATGCAACTGACCGGATAGATGTTTCTCTCTCTCACCTTGCCTCTCTCTTTAAAATCAATAAAAACATGTCCTCAGGTGAGTATTGAGGAAGAAAGGAAAGAGCATACGGGAAGAGAATTATGGGTTAAGGAGACAGTGAGGGAGGGACAGACGGGAAGCCGCCAGCAGTGGCTGAGGAACAGACAGGGAGGCGCTGCCTCTGTCTCCACGGGGGGTGGGGGTGGGAGGCTCAGGCACTGTGAGTCAGAAGGACCGGGTTTTAACTGAACTCTTCCCGTTCCTCACTGTGCGCCCTCCTACCTCTGATACACAGTCCACTAACCAACACAACGGCACATTTATCACCTCCTACGGTCATTGCTGCCCTGAGCCTGAGCCTGTGAGCAGTACAGGCCCAGGTGCATGCTCGGTCCCCTCCGGGCCCTCCAGGCCTGCCCACTCCCCTTCCCGGGGGCCGACACAGCGCCGGGGCTTCATTTAAGTGACCGCGCTGTGCACTTGCTACAGCTGAGGTAGAAAGAGGCTCCTAGGAGCTCAGAAGAACAAAGCATCCCACTGTTTATCCTCCAGGAAAGAATATGTACATTTCCCTCGCAGCTTATAAATAAACAACAGCAGCCAGTTATTTATCATATATTTACATTGGTTTACAAAGTTGCCAGTGATCTCTTTATACTGGAGTTTCAGAAACTATTATTTGGTCACAGTCACAAATTAATTAG